ACAGTTACGGGTAAACATGTCATGTCTTCACTCCACGTGGTGCTGGCACCTTTGACTGGAAGGCGAATGGATAGGGTGAATCTGGCAGCAGCAGCCTTACAACATCTAGGTCTAAGCGTCGTTCAAAGATCGAAGGAGCAAGCGCAGATAGTCTCCACCAATGCTCAGAAGCACGACGGACATGTCCTGACAGTCAGGCAAATGAAACTTCAAGGCAAGACCGGGCCATGACTATCTTTCACCCTGAGCCTTCGTTCATTCGACGCAGAGCAGGCCGCTTCAACATGGCTGGCGGACCTGCTTGTGAGGAAGAGATGCGGATGACTCTACCAGCCGCAGAAGAAAAGGGGGGGCTCTTGATGCTTCACGCAACAAATACGCAGCCCAGTGAGTTCAGACTCGTCACTAACTACCTATAGGGGTAAGCATGCATGGGCCACGTCCTGCTTTCTAGAAGCACATGTTCTGAGGCGTGCCGGTATCTGCAGAAAGCGTCAGTAGCTGTGTGCTGGATCAAGCTGTTGTCGAGTCATTCTATACCATGAACCCTGCACCCTAAACCCTGGAGGCTGTTCTGGAGTCAGTCCCCTAAACCCGAAACCCTAAACCCTAATCTCTACACCCTAAACCGTGTGTACTCTCTGGCTCAAACTATCATAGACTGTCAGGAGCCAAACGAGCAAAGATCGGAGGCAAGGCTAACACCATAGAAGCCTATGTAAGCCCCTAGAAACCCTAAACCCGAAACCCCAAACCCTTGAGTTTGCACAGGACTTGGAGAAAGCGCGAAAGAACCACGAAACCCTTCTCAAACTCAGAGAGAAGCAAGAACAAGCAGCGTCAAAGAGACGAAGGCAAGGGCAGCAAGCAGAGCCCGAGCCTGAGGTCAAAAGGTCCGAAGTTTTAGCCCTCAATCCCTAAACCCTAAACCCCAAACCCTAAACCCTACACCCTACCAAGGCCTAGAGGCCCCACCGCCAGCAAAGAAGCAGAGAACGTAGAAAGAAAGACGAGCTACCATGAAGCTGGAAAGAAACAGCCCGAAGCACTAAAACCCTAAACCCTTAAACCCTAAACCCTAAACCCTAAACCCTAAACCCTAAACCCTAAAGCCCACGAAGGAGCCAAGGAGAGCTCCCCCCAAAAATCGTCCCAAGCCGCTGCCAGGGCCCCTGCACTTCCTCTCACTGTCACTTTCGCTCTCTCTCTCTCTCTCTCTCCCTCCCTCCCTCCCTCTCTCTCTTAAGAAAATGTAAATATAAATAAATAAATAAATATATATATATATACATACGTACTGATATATTCACATGTATATGTATACATATATATGTACATACACATACCTAACTGGAGAAATTAGCAGTGCCATGTCCACCCCAGCCCGACACCCATTACAGCCGCCTGGCTACGGCGATTCCTCCCAAGCTAAGGTACCATCGTGGTTCTACAGTGTGGTCGCTTCTACCTATGGAGCGAAAAAACCATCCATGGCAAGGATCTTCAGTTTCAGCCTGTGCCACTTCAGTTTGTGTCTCAAGCACTCATTCTTCGCACCGTTGGTGGTCGAGAGCTGGTCCTGTGCTGGCAGGTTCTCTGCCTGTGGGCTTGGGGGACCCTACACAACGGGGGGGAGGGGGGATGGGGGGGGAGGGGGAGGGGGGGGGGGGACCTCCCAACCCCCTAACCCTGAACCCCAAGCCCTAAACCCTAACCCCAAACCCGAAAACCTAAACCCCATGACTCTTAACAATGTACAGGCAGGTTGCTATGAAGACTTGGGGATTTCAGCGGGCTCAGAACTGAGCACTGGTGGGGTTTAGGGTTTAGGGCTTAGGGTTTGGGTTCTAGGTTTGGGGGTGTAGTTTCTGGTCCTGGGGGGCTTTCTTAGTGGTGGTGTGTCGGGCTTTAGAGCTCATGGTTCAGGTATGTGCTACGAGAGGGTGCACTTGTACGGGCATGGTCGTGGGCGTTCTAAATTCGAATCCCTATGTGGTCGTGCTGAACCCTACACCTAAGACAAAACAATAGAATTCGTGTGTGACATCATCCTGAATTTCAGAGTCATTTGTACCCAGTCTCCCCCCAGAAAAGCCTCAAAACAAAACGGCGTAGGCTAAATGTTCAGGTTACTGAAATCTCTGTAGTTCCTGCCCAAACGCGCTCCTAGACACCCAGAATTCAATTCATTTTACAATCTTCTGTCTGCCGTTGACAGCATCCAGCCTGATTGCAAGGCCATTTGTCTAAACAAGTCGGCACTGCACGAAACTCAGCCCCCCCTCCAAAAAAAAAAAGAAACAACACCCGAAAAGGCCCGCGAGGCGCCCCAAACTGCTGGGAGACCTTGAAAAGGCCCCAAAACGCCCCCAAAAGGCCAACAAAGGCCCTGGGCCCCAAAAGGCTTTAAACCCTCAACCCTGAACGCAAAACGCCCCAAAAGGCCAAAGGGCCCCCCGAAAAAGGCCCCAAAAGGCCCATTTATTGCCGGACGAGATGGGGGCGGCAAAAGACCCGGGAGGCCCCACAAGTCTCTGGGAAGTCTTGGCGGGTTTAGGTGTTTAGAGGTTTAGGGGTTCAGGGGTTCAGGGGTTTAGGGGTTTAGGGGTTTAGGGGTTCAGGGGTTCAGGGGTTTAGGGGTTTAGGTAGGTATAGGCTAGGAGGCACAGGGGCCCCCCGAAACGGCAGCATGGAGTTGCATTTTCTTTACCATCCCTAACAATCGGCGAAAACGTTTCGGCCAGAACGTACCCAGAACCTGACCAGCTCCATCCACCCCACCGCTCCCCCAAAAAAGTTTAGGTCTTAGGGTTTACGGTTTAAGGTGTAGGGTTTAGAGTTTGGGGTCAGAATCGAGGAACACCTTGTCCTGAGGCGAGGGCTCTACGCATGTAAGGAAGTCTTCATGCTAGAGATGCCCTAAACCCTAAACCCTAAACCCTCAACCTAAGCCCTAGACACGAACCCTAAACCCTGAACCCTGAACCGCAGCCCTAAACCCTAAATCCTTCACCCTAAATCCTAGCCTTATCATCTCTCGGAGCCTCAGCGGCCCAAATGGCCGCTCTTTTTCCCGAATGTTCCGTGAGCCTTAAACTCACCAGCTTCCCATTCAAAGCCGGGCTTGCGAAAACACCCAAACCCTAAACCCTAGAATCTTAACCCTAAACCCTAAACCCGAAACTCTAAACCCTAGACCCGAAACCTTCTCTATCCTTATAGGTTTACACCGTAAAACTTTTTGGTGCATTTACCTTGCCCGTTGTTGAGCACCTTTTGGTGCAATCGGCACTGTTCTTGAACCATTTTTGGCGCGTCGGCACCGTTCTTGAGCCATTTTTGGTGCAGACCCTAAACCCTAAACCCGAAACGCTAACCCCTAAACCCTGTTCACCCTGGGCCTTCGTTCAGCCGACGCAAAGCAGGACGCTTGAACATGGCTGGCGGACCTGCTTGTGAGGAAGATATGTGGAAGTCTGCCGGCTTTACTGGACAAGTCATTCTCTACCAGCCAAGGAAAAGAACAACAGGGTTGCACGTGATTCTCCGCGCAACAAAAAGTACTGAGGCTCAATGAGTTCAGAGCTTTGACGTCACCCGAAATATCAGCAGTTAACTATCGGGTAAGCATGCATGGGGCACGTCCTGCTTTCTAGAAGCACATGTCCTGCGGCGTGCCGGTATCTGCAGAAAGCGTCAGTATGTACTTTCTTGCTCAAACTATCATGGCACTGTCAGGAGCCCAATGAGCAAAGATCGGTTTAGGGTTTAGGGTTTAGGGTTTAGGGTTTAGGGTTTAGGGTTTAGGGTTGCTAGTCTTGAGCTTGCACAGGACTTGGAGAAACTTAGAAGAACATCGAGGTGCAAAATGAGGGTTTACGAAAATAGGGGACTCCTGAAATAGAGCCCCAAATAGTAGGATTCCCGAATTTTTGGACCCCAGGAAGGTACCCCCTAATTCCGGTAACTCCCACTAGCTTAAGGTACCCTAAACCCTAAACCTTAAACCTTGAACCCTAACCCTAAAACGTATACTATAATTTCGGAAACCCCCATATCAGAAAGGAAAAGCCGTGTCAGAGAGAGAGGCAAGAGCAGCAAGCGGAGCCCAAACCTGAGCTCCAAGGCCTCAGCGCTAAACCCTAAACCCTAAACCCTAAACTCTAAACCCTTAAACCCTTAAACCCTTACACCCTTAAGCCCTTGAGCCCTTAAGCCCTTAAGCCCTTAAACCCTTAAACCCTTAAACCCTTAAACCCTAAACCCTAAAACTTTTCGACTCTATAGACCGCATAAACGCACCGCCAAGGCCCAGAGGCCCCCACCGCCAGCAGAGAAGCAAAGGACGGAGAAAGAAAGACGAGTTGCCATGAAGCTGGATATCAACAGCCCGGAGGCCTGAAGCCTTCTTCTTCTTCTTAGGGCAGCCCGGAGCCCTAAGGCCTTAAGCCTGAACCCCTAAGCCCAAATTGCTCAACCCAAAAAACAACTAAATGAAAACAAAAGAGAGCCTTCCCCAAAATCGTCCCAGACCGCTGCCTGGGCCCCTGCAATATACACATATATGTATTGATATATTCGGATTCTTGATTTATGAAAAATATATGAATATTTAATATATGTATATATATACAGAACTACATGTAACTGGATAAATGAGCGGTGCCGGGTCCCACCCCCCGCCCCAGCCCAACCCCCATTGCAGTCATCTGGCTATGGCTTTTCCATTGTGGGGGGGCAAGGATCATACATCGTGCACATTGAATTTGTGGCGCAAGTGCTCATTCGTCTCGCTGTTGGCGATGGCGACAGCTGGCAGGTGTCCTGTGCCTGTAGCCCAGACCCTTGGAGGATCCAAAAAGAAGAGCCCCCAAATTGTACCCTATACTACGCTTGGGTCATTCTCAGGAACCCTTAAGGGGATCTACTTTTTGGATCCTCCCAAGATTCTGGGAAGCGGGTCCTGTTCATGCCGGCAATCAGATTGCAACTTCCGGAGATCAGTCCCCGAAGCAGTCGCTGTCGTCGCTGTCCGCAGTCAGTATTGACACGCTGCACTCCTCTGGGCCACTTCGGCTGAGCCAGATTCGGAGGCGGGTCCAACGCTCGATGCCGATCCAGACAATAGCCCAGGCAAAGATCATGCAAAGACAGCGGCTGACGAGGACAGTGCAGCTAATCCGGCTGCTGAGTCCTTCAAGGGACAACATCAGGTGTATACAGAGGTTATATAGGGGTTTCCGAAATTAGGGTACCTTATTGGGGTCCTTACTGTAAGGGCATCCTACTATTTGTGGCTCTATTTTACTCATCTGACCTGGTAGGTATATTCCTTTGATGTTCCAACCCCGTTTGGGGTTACCATTAAAGTCACTTAACCCACTCACCTTGGGCTGTAAAACATGCATACCACAAGGGGGTTTCCCAACATTTTGGGGGTTGTCATAAGCCCTAAACCCTAAACCCTAAACCCTAAACCTCATTGTGGGCCCTCATTATTCCCCTTAAGTCCTTCGCTTTCGACCCAGGTCGGACTAACAGCGGAGAGGCTGGTCTGGTTGAAATAATCCAGCAATGGCACATTTTCTACCTCCGGGTGGGTGTAGGGTTTAGGGTTTAGGATAGGGTTTCGGGTTTAGGCCCTACCAAAATTACCTTTTCTACTCTGCGTGTACATACATATATATATATATAGGTACATATGTATGTGTATATATATGTATGTATCTAAATGTGTGGAAATAGATACATGCGTAGAGGGTTGGGCGAGGGTTATTCGAAGTGCCATGGAACCTGAGAATGTACTTCCAACTCACCCTAAACCCTAAACCCTAAACCCGGACCCTAAACCCTAAACCCTAAACCGTAAACACTAAACCCTAAACCCTAAACCGTAAACCCTAAACCCTAAACTGTAAACCCTAAACCCTCAAACCCTAAGCCCTAAACCCTCCTCATCGTACCCTTGAAGGTGGCAGAGAAGAATGGGCATCTGCAAGGAGAACATGCCGCAGAGGCCCCAGGCGTTCAAGGCGAAGACCGCGAAATCGGGCCCTTGCTTCTCCTTGGGCGTTTTAGAATAAGGGCCTCCTAAACCCTAAGCCCTAAACCCTAAACCCTAAACCCTAAACACCCCCCCCTTATTTGGGGTTGCTTGCTTTATAAGGGAACCTTGAACCCAAACACAAGGGCAAAAGGGGGTACCTCTGGGCTGCCAAGCCTCAAGCTGCCATACCGACAGGGGGATGACCAGCACAGTGACGGAGTACAGGATGCAGAGGAGCGTGAAGTAGTGGTGGTGAGACGTGTGGCCGACAAAGGTATCCTTGGATGACTCATATAAACCTTCTGAAAGATATGTTTGAATAAGGTTTAGGGTTTAGGGTTAAGGGTTAAGGGTTTAGGGTTTAGGGTTTAGGAATATGATCCTCTTCAGCCCAACAAGGGAAGACATAAAATGTCCCAAGGGCCTACCTGGTATCTGATAGCAGGTCCATGGCAGACACGGACCAAGCAAACATCGAGAAGAAGACCCCAGTCCTCACGTCAGTCGTGCCGTCCATCTCAATGTCCAAGCCGTTGTCCCAAGCGCAGCGCAAGTTGTCTGTGTAGGCACCTGCAGCCAGAAGGACACCGATCACAGTCTCCACTTCATTCTCGGAGCCGGCGATGGCTTCTCTAATTCGCTGCTCATCCGTGGCACTCGAGCAATGTGCGTCACCCAGGGAATCGAATTGCATCATCTCCTTCTGCTGATCGAACGCTGCCTTCTCGCACTTTAAGATCACAAGCCAAACGCTGACCAAGGCATTCATGGGAACCAGGTTCGAGAGCCAGCCATAGTGAAAGAACACACAGATCCAGTTGTCACCAAGCTCTGCTATCGAGAGATACCCCCAATATACATCCAGAAGGAAGAAGGCACAGCCCATGGAAGTTAACCAACGCATCATCTGTAAGGACCGGGGGTGGCGCCGATAAGGCAGAACCATCAAGAGAACCACCTTGGCTCAGCAAGAGAAACATGTTTTGTGTTCTATTGCTGTTTGTGTCTGCAGAGGGTCTAGAAGAACCTAAACCCTAAACCCTAAACCCCAAACCCTAAACCCCAAACCCTAAACCCCAAACCCTGAACCCCAAACCCTAAACCCTAAACGCTAAACCCTAAACCCTAACCCTAAACCCCCGACACAGGGAACAAGGGCACGACTGGGCATCCCAGTCGCCAAGGAAAGTACTCGGTATGCCAACTCCAGCCGGCTGTACAGGCCCGTACCTAGGATGGCCCTTAAAAGACTCTGAAACAATCTCTGAATCAGGTTTAGGGTTTAGGGTTTAGGGCTTAGGGTTTAGGAATATGATCCTCCTAAGGGGAAATCTAAAATGTCCCAAGGGCTACCGAGGTACGTCCACCAGTGACATGCTCAAGAACCAGCGTCACTGGAGCTCCCGCTACAAATGCGCCACACATGGGCACGCCAACTGTCCTGAACCAATATTTGCCGGTCTCCTTTTGATCTGGCACCACGGGTAACAGATAGATTTTGTTCCATTTGGCTCCAAGATAAGCCTCGAATACACACCAGAGCCTTGAGTATACCCCGACAGAAGGATTCGGGACGACCAGTAAGTGCGACGCCTTCTGCAACGCCAAGGCAAAGGCACTCTCGCTCAACCGCCCGCCAATGAATTCATCCAAATCCAAGTTTTGTGGGTTGGACAAGAGGCAGCAGTAGAGGTTCTGAAGTCGATACCTAGTTCATGGTTGGGATCGTATTGAAAATCTAAACTGATATTCCTTACTGGGTTCAAGTACCCTTAAACATGCTATGCCCAAGATACAGCTGAGGCCACGCCAGGCGGATTCCGGAGCTTAGGTGGAAGATACCCCCCTGCCAAGAATGAGAGACAAAGACCTCGCAGTCCAAACCTTCAGGATGCTTCATCAAGGCATAGGAGACACCTCCGGCTGCCAGCGTCATCGGCTTCACCACATAAGTGTTCACATCATAGAGATTGGGCCCATGCTTGGGATCCCAGTGCCTCAGGTTGGGCTCACTGCTGGGGATCGTGTCGGAACGCCAGGCCCTGTAGACGATGTGCACGAACTCCTCTTGGCTGCACTCAGAAGGGTAGCTATAAGTAAAAATAGTTGCTGCCTTTTTTCAGAAGCCCAATAAACCCAAAAAGGCTAAGGATCTAAAGTTACAGTAAAGCACCACAAAGTCCTCTAGCTCAGATCTGGTGATGCACCACTTCTGTGGGGGCACCGACCGGTGCAACTTGCGAGCTGTATGAAAGTGCATTGGGCTGAGATGACTTGGTAGCCCAGTAACCCTTTTTTTGCTTGGCTACTTTATCAAAGAAACCCAGAACCGAAAAAAAAAGGCAAAGGGAAATATAGGGACCTGAATGATTAGAAATAGAGTTTCGAAGGTTATTATAGTATACTTATAAAGAGGCTATAAGGGGATACGACTAGTAATTTAGCCGTATGGTACCACTGGGCTACCAAGATGACCACAGGGACACGGTTTAGGGTTTCGGGTTTAGGATTTAGGGTTTAGGGCCATGGCTACGCTGTCTGCTGAGAGCCGACTCGGCACACCCCTATGCCCACCGACATGGCCCTAAAAACCCAAAGCCCAGCAGTAAACCCTTAAAGCCTGAACCCTAAACCCTAAACCCTAAACCCTAAACGCTAAACCCTAAACCCTAAACCCTAAACCCTAAACCTAAACCCTAAACCCTAAACCCTAGACCTCCCCAAAAACCGCACAACATGGCCCTGCAACCCTAGTGCCTGCAGTAAACAAACTCCAAAAAAGTCCAAAATGGCCCCGTAGCCCTAAACCCTGCTGCACACCCCAAACCCTAAACCCCGCTTGCACAAAACGGCCCTGCGGCACTAAACCCTTCATGGCCCTGCAAGATATAAACCTCCTGACAACTTTCAACAGTGAAGCCTAGGAATGGCGACTAACAATCTCCAAGAGGCTGCGACAAGACGCACCTACTTTAACCCTAAACCCGAACCCTAAACCCTAAACCCTAAACCCTAAACCCTAAACCCTAAACAAACCCTGAACCCCGAGCCCTCAGTTCAGGCGCCGGCAACCCTAATTCAGGGTCCATGTTCCTAAATCGGGAATACTTGGGCCTTCAAGTACTTCCTATTGAGAGACTGTGGGGTCCAAGTATATAATTAGGGTTTAGGGTTTAGGGTTTAGGGTTTAGGGTTTAGGGTTTAGGGTTTAGGGCCATGGACCCTTAGGGCTACCCCCCTAAACCCTAAACCCTGAGCCTCAAACCCTAAACCCTTAGGGATCTAAATGCGAAAAGGAGCTCCTTATACAACAAGGTACATGGACCCCTTCGGGAACACAAGGGTTTAGGGTTTAGGGTTTAGGGTTTAGGGTTTAGGGTTTAGGGTTTAGGGTTTAGGGTTTAGGGTTAGGGCTTCTCCGCGGAAGATGTATACGGTGGCCCTACAAGATGACTGGCCCTGGGGGATTAGGGCTTAGGGCGTCCTGTGTTTAAGGTTTAGGGTTTAGGGTTCAGGGTTTAGGCTGTCATACCTCCGTTGTGAGCTGCAGGTGAACACAAATCCTGACGAGTCGACTGGTGTTCGTTGGGGAAGCTCATGTGTGGAACTTTTTCTTTTGCCAGGGTAGTGCTCCCATAGCTTCCACAGGGTTTCATCCCAAAAGTGTGGAGTGTACTCTAAACTCTAAACTCCCTAAACCCTAAACCCTAAACCCCAAACCCTAGACGCTAAACCCCAAACCCCAAACCCCAAACCCTAAACCCTAAACCCTAAACCCTAAACCCTCAACCCTAAACCCTAAGGGACCATATCCAGGGCCCATGTAACTACCCTCATGACCTGAACAAGCCTAAACCCTAAACCCTAAACCCGAAGCCCCAAGCCCTAACCCTAAACCCTAAACCCTAAGCCCGGGAGCTGATATGGAAAACTTCCTTCGCCGCTTTCCTGGGAACGAAGGCGAGACTCAACAGCTCCCGGGGGCAAAAAATCTCTTGGCTGACATCCTCAAAGCTTAACTTGCAGGCTCCCTATTGTAGTTTCTACCAAAAACCCAAAAAATGTTAAAGTCATACGAGCCAGCCAGAAGACAGTGAAGATGAGGCACAGCACTCTGCCCGTCCCCACCCTTGCTTCAGAAAGGGCTCGGGACGGACGGAGGGTGTACAGGTGTGTCGGGTTGAGGGGTGGTTTTGGGGAATGCTTCACTCGGCTGCAACTTAGAAGGGTAGCTATGAATTAAATCTTAAGCTGCAGGACGAAGGCGCTCAAACAGCAACCCTATCTAACCCTAAACCATAAACCCTAAACTTAACCCTAAACCCTAAACTTAACCAGTAAACCCTAAGCCCTAAACTTACCCCTACACCGCAGTTCTCCTCGCCTTGGGTCCAACTTGAATACAGGCTTAAAGGGTTCATAGGGTTTCGTTGGGTCCCGGTATGCCTTGAGAACGCTTACTTCTGCTGGTTGAGATGCTTCTTGGGTACCCCATTCTGTAGAAGCTATCTTGGTAGCCCAGCAATCAGATTTAAATAAGGGCACCCTTTTTGGGTTGGTTGTTTTATTCTGAGGGAACCCATAACCAACAAAAAGGGTAAAGGGTACCACTGGGCTACCAAGCCATTAAAACGCAGGGCACATTGGGCCCTTGCGACCGCTCACGAGCTGTAACTGAACGCGTGCGGCGTTGGCTGACGCGCCTTCGGCGTGGTGCAAAGTGCCTCGGCGACACCCTAAACCCTAAACCCTAAACCCTAAACCCTAAACCCTAAACCCTGAACCCTAAGTGGGGCTTTCAGCATTCAGAAATGCCATGTTACCAAGGTAGAAGTTTTACAAAACCTTGCCTCGTCAGTCCTAAACAGCTTAGGGTTTGGGGCCTAGGGTTAAGGGTTTAGGGGTAGCCCAGACTCTTTTGTAGGGTTTTGGGGTTGCGGGGTTTACAGCAACGGTTTAGGGTTAAAACTCTGTAGCTTGACAAGAAGCAGCCCACTCCCGCCGGCCTCAATCCCCAACGCCACCCTAAACCCTAAAACCCTAAACCCTAAACCCTAAACCCCAAACCCTCTTCTGGGCTGCATGGGGGCTACTCAGGCACATATTATGGGAACTATATCAAGCAAAAAAGGGTGGTAGATAGGGGAATCCAAAACCTTGTACGCCTTAGGTCCTAAATCCTTGCAACTCTCAAGCCCAAATCCCTACAACCCTCAACCCCCACAAAAATCCAAATTTGTGAGCGGTAGGTCACGGGCTCCCCATAAACCCTAAACCCTAAACCGCCCCTCATGCTGCAGAATAAAACGGCATACCCCTAAACACCGAACCCTAAACCCCAAACCCTATCCGGCCCCCCAAACCCTCAAAACCCCAAACGAACCTAGAGCTGGACCTACCTATGGTTGCAGCAAGCACTGCCCATGTCTCCGTTCGCCTAGGGCTAATTGACACGATTAACAAACTCCCCTCTGACTGATGCGGCCCTCGGCCAATGCTACTACTAACTGCTGCTACTGCTACTGCTACTGCTACTGCTACTGCTACTGCTACTGCTACGACTACGACTACGACTACTACTACTACTACTCCTCCTCCTCCTCCTCCTCCTCCTCCTCCTCCTCCTCCTCCTCCTGCTCCTGCTCCTGCTCCTCTGCTCCTGCTCCTGCTCCTGCCTGCTCCTGCTCCTGCTCCTGCTCCTGCTCCTGCTCCTGCTCCTGCTCCTGCTCCTGCTCCTGCTCCTGCTCCTGCTCCTGCTCCTGCTCCTGCTCCTGCTTCCGCTGCTGCTGCTGCTGCTGCTGCTGCTGCTGCTGCTGCTGCTGCTACGATGCCGACGACTACTACGACGACTACGACTACAAATACGACTTCGGCGACTACTATGACTTCGACGACCCAAACCCTGCAGTTATTTGGCGGGCCACAAGGTGCCCCCCAACCCCCCTACAGACCTTGTTGACCTTGACATCGGAACCAGCATTACGCGATATGGAACACCAAAGGACCTATAAAACCAGACTAAGAAAAGCCGGTGTGGAGCCCTCATTGAGCCCGGCAGCCCGCGCGTTCCACAACAGCGCGGCTGCGAGGATGTGAACGATGCTTGAGACAACGGCCTGCGGGGTTTAGGGTGTAGGGCTTTTGGGGCTTTAGGGTTTTAGGGCTTCGGGGTTTTGGGGCTTTTTGGGGCTTTCGGGTTTTAGGGCTTTGGGGTTTTGACGTTTTGGGGTTTTGTGGTTTAGGGTGTTCTTTTTTGTTTTTTGGGGTTTTGGAGCTTTGGGTTTTTTTGGGGGTTTTGGGGTTTTGGTTTTTTGGGTGTTTTGGGGTTTTTGGGGTTTTTGGGTTTTGGGGTTCAGGGTTTAGGGTCTCATGCGGGGGCTTCGGTTTTGGGGATTTAAGGCTCGGTGCATGGAGGGCTCTCATCTTGTGAAGTAAAGCAGGCAGCTATACGGTGTGGGGTTCAGGCTTTGGGGCTTCTGTAAGAAGGGCATCACGACTCCCCGAACGCTGAACTGTAACCCTGAAAAGCCGTAAACCCTAAACCCTAAACCCTAGACCCTAAACCCTAAACCCTAAACCCTAAACCCGATGCTAAGCTGAGCCCAAAAGGCGACTTGCCATTCGGACAGCGGCGTGAAGAAGACGAGAACCACAACCACACCAAACCTCGGCAGACAATTGCTTCCTTAGGGTTGATCAGTTTAGGGTTCAGGGTTTAGGGTTTAGGGTTTTGGGTTTAGGGTTTTGGGTTCAGGGTTTAGGGTTCGAGGCTATATTTAGAGCTCTTGGGTGAAGAGTGTGCTTGTTGAAGTTTCATGGCGGGTTACTAAGATACTCTGATACGGCTATGGCCAGATGTAACTCTTGGGTCTAGGTCTACTTGAAGCCTGGACCAGTTTCATATTCTTATGGCTACCCTACAAAGAAACAATGGGCAGAAGATCCGGACAATGGCAGAAGACAACTCGGATGTCTTCGTGTGCAGAGCAGCACACGGCTTCGCACTTACGCGACCGTGCGACATTGGGTGGGGTGGGGTGCCCTCCGAATGGCGCTTGCTAAGCCCTCAGCTCCAAGCCGTCAACCCGAAACCCGAAACCCGAAACCCGAAACCCGAAACCCGAAACCCGAAACCCTAAACCCTAAACCCTAAACCCTAAACCCTAAACTAAACCCAAACTCCCTAAATTCACAAAGCCAAGGGAATCAGGGAACCTTAAAGGCGTTGTACCCTGGACCCTTAAGGTTGTACATTTGGGTTTTGGGGGACCTTTTGAAAGATCCTTAAGGTAGGAAAAGGGCCATCTTAGGAGCAGATTAAGGGGAACCTTGAGGGGTACGAGAATAGCTTGAGAACCTACCCCAAAAACCTTAAACCGTAAACCCTAAACCCTAAATTACGGGCGTCCTGGGCTTGTGCACAGGGGAGCCTGAGTTGAACGGCAGGTTGGCCTTCCCTTCTTATTTAAGGAAACCTGTGGGTCGCAACTGGGCAACGTAAGCAAGAACACAGGCAGGATGGTAGAGATGACGAGCAAGTTCGCCAGCCAATCCAGCACGCGATACCTGGCAGGATTCCCTAAGCCCTAAGCCCTAAGCCCTAAGCCCTAAGCCCTAAACCCTAAACCCTAAACCCTAAACCCTAAACCCTAAACCCTGAACCCTAAACCCTAAACCCTAAACCCTAAACCCTAAACCCTAAACCCTAAACCCTAAACCCTAAACCCTAAACCCTAAACCCTAAACCCTAAACTCAAACACAAACTATCAGATTCAGGCAGCCTTAAGCTCAATCCACCTAAACCCTAAAGCCTGCACTCTGAAGTCTAATCCCTGAGCTGCCCTCAACTGCCCTAAGCCACAAACCCTAAACCCTAAGCCCTAAGCCCTAAGCCCTAAGCCCTAAGCCCTAAGCCCTAAGCCCTAAGCCCTAAGCCCTAAGCCCTAAGCCCTAAGCCCTAAACCTTAAATCCTAAACCGAAGTGAGTGACCAACCAGGGGTGTTCAGGGCTGAGGGATTGAGAGGCAACAAACCCCAACCTGGAGACTGGGTCTGTATAGCCCTGTCCTTCCCCTGAGCACGCTGTGCGTGCGAAGAGACCTATGGTCACTTCTCGAATGGTTCCTAAACCTGAACCCTGAACCCTGAACCCCAAACCCTAAACCCTAAACTCTAAACCCCAACAAGGGACCGTGCTTTAGAGAACAGACTCCAGGACCCCTGAAACTGTGGACTGAGAGGTTGAAGGGTTTGCAAGGCTTAGGGTTTGCAAGGTTTAGGGTTTAGGGTTTAGGGTTTAGGGTTTAGGGTTTAGGGTTTAGGGTTTAGGGTTTAGGGTTTAGGGTTTAGGGTTTAGGGCTTAGGGCTTAGGGTCCGAAACAATTTGGTCCCCTTTTGGGGGTTTAGAGGTTTAGAGGATGAGGTTGAAGGGCCAGCCCCGACACTCCCGCCCCCATCTCCACGCCCTCTTCAGGGTGTGGGATTTAGGGTTTAGGGCTTAGGGCTTAGGCTTTAGGGCTTGGGGTTTAGGGTTTAGGGCTTGGGGTTTAGGGTTTAGGGCTTAGGGCTTAGGCTTTAGGGCTTGGGGTTTAGGGTTTAGGGTTTAGGGCTTAGGGCTTGGGGTTTAGGGTTTCCCCCCACCGAAGCGTGGTAGGACAAAAAACCCTAAACCCTAAACCCTAAACCCTAAACCCTAAACCCTAAACCCTAAACCCCCTAGCATACCTAAGACTCCCAGAAGGGACTTTTGGCTTCTTCAGGCGCCGTTGGCACCCCTCAACCGTCCCACACCTAAACCCTAAACCCTAAACCCTAAACCCTAAACCCTAAACCCTAAACCCTAAACCCTAAACCCTAAACCCTAAACCCTAAACCCTAAAGACCCAAAATCCTAAACCCTGAACCGCGTTTTCGAAGCCCGAGGTGTTTGGGGTCCGGGGTTCGGGGCTGAAGGCGCCCGGGCCCGGAGTTCAAGGCCGGGGTTTGGGGTTTATTGGGTATTGGGTTTAGGGTTTAGGGTTTGGGGTTTAGGGTTTAGGGTTTAGGGTTTTGGGTTTAGGGTTTAGGGTTTAGGTTTTAGGGTTTAGGGTTTGGGGTTTGGGGTTTAGAGGGTGTATTGGGTTTATAGGGTTTAAAGGGTCTATAGGGTCTATAGGGTTTACAGGGTTTATTGGGGTTACTCGGTTTATAGGGTTTATAGGTTTTATAGGGTTTATAGGGTTTATTGGGTTTCGAGGACGTATTGGGTTTATAGGGTTTATAGGGTTTATAGGGTTTACAGCGTTTATTGGGTTTGCTGGGCTTATAGGGGTTATAGGGTTTATAGGGTTTATAGGGTTTATTGGGTTTGTGGGGTTTATAGGGGTTTATAGGATTTATTGGGTTTATGGGTTTATAGGGTTTATAGGGTTTATAGGGTGCATTGGGTTTATAGGGTTTATAGGCTTTATCGGGTTTATAGGGTTTACAGGGTGCATTGGGTTTATAGGGTTTATAGGCTTTATAGGGTTTGTTGAGTTTACTGGGTTTATAGGGTTTATAGGGTTTACAGGGTTCAAAGGGTTTGGGGAAGGTTTAGGGTTTAGGCTTAGGGTTTAGGTTTTAGGGTTTAGGGGATAGGGTTCATCTTAATTCTCTGCGTACCAATTCAGACCCTATAAACCCTATAAACCCTATAAACCCTATAAACCCTATAAACCCTATAAACCCTATAAACCCTATAAACCCTATAAACCCTATAAACCCTCTAAACCCCGTAAACCCGGTAAACCCTAAACCCTAAGCAGAACACTGACGGTACCAGCAAGTAGCACTCCTATGAGCTGTCTTCCCAACACAGCGCTCTCACCAAACTTTACGGAATTCTCTTCTCCCGCACGCCCGAGAGCCCACAAATCCAACAATCCTAGGTGCATGTAGACAGATGAATGTATCTGGAGAGAGAGAGAGAGAGAGCGAGAGACAGAGAGAGAGAGAGAGAGAGACAGAAAAAAAAAACATACACGGATTTGCGGGTGTTTTTGACTCATAAACCTTACTTTCTAACCCTGTAAGCCAGCCCCTTGCAAGCTCTATTCGCCCTATAGCCCCTGCCCTACAAGCCCTGAAAACTCTATAAGCCCTGCAAACCCTTAAAACCCTGCAAGCCATGAAAACCTTACGTACCCCACATCCTACGCACCCTATACACCGTACAAACCCTATGAATATGAACCACGTACAAGCCCTACAGACCCCACACCCTATACACCCTGCAAGCCCTATGAACCTCCCATGCCCTAGCCCTACAAGCCCTATGTGCCGGATAAGCCCAACAAACGCTGAACTCGAAAAACACAAAAACGCCCGAACTAAACTCCGAGGCCTAAACCCTCAACCCTAAATTAGGCCCTAAACCCAAGACCCCTCCATCCGAAACGCAAACCCCTTTCAACCTCCACATCTTCAACCCCAAGCCAACCCTAAACCCCAAATCCTAATCCCTAAATAAACTCCTAAACCCTAATCCCTAAATCCTAAACCCTAAATCCTAAACCCTAAATCCTAAACCCTAACCCCTAAACCCTAAACCCTGAGCCCAATCGGCCTACGTGGCTGACGCATGCAACGCGCGGCATAGAGGAAGGACCTCGAGGGCAGGTGGGGCTCATGAGGCTTCATGGGTTAGGGTTTAGGGTTTGGGGTTTAGGGTTCAGGGTTTAGGGTTTGGGGTTTAGGGTTGAGGGTTGAGGGTTTAGGTTAAGTTTAGGGGTTCAAGTTCAAGTGTTTGTTTATTTGCAGAATTAGATGCTGAACCAATTTGTTCAACCGACACCGGTGTTGAACCGATTTGCGGTCAATTGGACCGGTGTTGAACCGATGTTTGGTCAATCGACTCCGGCGCTGAACACCGGTGCTTGGGTAAATTGCAGTCAGGACCGAACATGCCGAACCCTAAACCCTAAACCTTCAGCCCTAAGCCCTAAAGCCCTAAAGCCCTAAAGCCCTAAAGCCCTAAACGCCCGAACCCGAAAACCCTTAACCCTAAAGCGCCGCACCGCCCAGATGGCCGCCGGATGTCCGAACTTCAAGTGCGGTGTTTAGAGATTGGTTCTTAGGGCCTCTCATTCCCAAGAGGCAGTCAAAGGGTTTAGGGTTTAGGGCTAGGGTTTAGGGCTTAGGGCGGGTTTAGGGTTTAGGGCTCAGGGTTTCGGGTTCTAAGGGCAGTTTCATGGTCCCTTTTTCTGGTCCCTTGCCCTCTTGAAAGAGTTCTGATGACTGGGCCCTTGGGTTGTATAGGGAAAATAAGGAGTACATGGGCCTATACCAGGTGCCCATGAAACTACCCTAAGCCCGAATACCTAAACCCTAAACTCTAAACCCTAAACCCTAAACCCTAAACCCTAAAGAGTCATGGATCTGCGGAGGTCAGGGAGATGGTTAATACATTGGGATTTAGAGATTGAGGGACTCTAAATGCTTCTTCCCTTCGGCGTCTCCCTTGGCCATTTGATTTGGGTGATCCCCCTCCCCCCGAAAAAGTTGGGGTTCAGGGGGGCTTGAGGTTGATTTTGGCGTTCACAAACCTAGACTTCTGAGCCCTTTAAATCCAACCATTTGCAAGCCAAGCGCAGAGAATCCTAAACCCTAAACCCTAAACCCTAAACCCTAAAGCCGAAAGCCTACAGCCTAAACCCTAAAGCCTAAACCCTAACCCTCCCCGAAAAATACGCCAGGGGGCGCAAAGAAGGTGGGAAAAGATCCCATCCACCAGCCAAGCCCGGAAATGAGCCAGAACCTTGGGCTTAATCCCTCTCGGCTTAGCTGGCTTTCAGGGTCCGAAAACGTGACGAGACCCAAGAGTAACCTAGGGGTTTAATTCGGGTTTCGGGTTCGGTTGCGGGTTTAGGGAGTTGCCCAGGAGGAAAAACGGTGCCGTTATTGGGTTTGAAGGGGCTTATAAGGGAGCCTGAGCCCGAACAAGAAGGGAATCAGGGCCTACTCTGGGTCTCTGGGTCCCAGAACAAGACTTTAGGGTTTAGGGTTTAGGGTTTAGGGTTTAGGGTGAACCTGCTCCTCCGTACTACACAATCTGCCCAAGAACGCAGACGACCTGCGGGCACTCAAGCCCGTTCTCTGGACCTCCTTTTCCAGGGCAGGTTTTGACAGGGTCCCATTGTTTGTGCTTGAGGGCTGCGGGCGGCGGGGTTGGGTGAGCTGCACCCGCCCCCATCAGCTCTGAAACCCGAAACCCCGCACCCTCTGCGATGCTAGAGTAGGTCCTAAGCACTTAAACCCGAAACCCCAAGATTGTTGTGTGGGGGGGGGGGGGGGGGGGGGAGGGTTGCGATTTTGGGCTCAGCTGTGTCATCTCCATTGCAGCAGAGGGCTATGGCCCCATCTGCTTCGGAAGGCTCTTCTTCGTCTCGGGTTTTTAGGGTTTAGGGTTTGGGGTTTAGGGTTTAGCCACCCTTGAGATCTCTAAGCCCTCAAAGCCAACACTCTGCCTCGAGGCATCGGTGTTGGGCATTTGGAGGTTTGAGGTGGGGTCTAGGGTCTTTTGCTCCTGAGGCGCAGCCACCACTGGCCCAGCTTCATGAAGAGGATGTTCTCAACAGCCAAATCCTTGTTTATTTTAGAGTTTCGGGCAACATTTCCAGAGTTCAATTTCGGGCCTGGGCGGGGGTGTTGGGAGGGGGAGCAATGGCAAGAATACTGAGAATTCTGCCATAGATGGGGGGTGGGGTGGGTGGAGGAAGGGGAGGCGGGTGTGGGGTGTGGTGGGGGTAAACCAACTACGGGGCCTGCACCAAAACATCCAAAAGACCCCATGACCTGCATGACACCTACCCTAAACCCTAAACCCTAAACCCTTTACCCTATACCCTATACCCTAAACCCTAAACCCTAAACCCCAAACCCTATACCTTTGCCAGCTGATGGCGCCTCGGGGAGCTCTCGGGAATATTGGGGATGATTGAGTTACTTGCACCCCTCCCTGTAGGGTTTAGGGTTTAGGGTTTAGGGTTTAGGGTTTAGGGTTTAGGGTTTAGGGTTTAGGGTTTAGGGTTACTGATACCCCAAGCCTTGACACCACTCTGGTCCTCCTCTGAACCCTAAACCCTAAACCCTAAACCTCAAACCCTCAACCCTAAACCCTAAACCCGACACCTGCCAGGGGGCCAGCATAACCCACAGAAGCGGCGCGGTGGCAACCAGGAGCAACCGATACGGGAACCTGATAGGACGCGGTGTTTAGGGATTAGAGTTTCGGGCTTAGGGATTTTCCGGGGTTAGGGTTCCATTTTTTGGCTCGGTGCATAGGGGTTTGGGTGGCAGGGCTTCCGTGTCTTTGAGGCAAGCAGCCTGTACTGCTTGGTGGGAATCAGCTTCCCCCCCCCCTCACAACACGCAAAAGAGCCAGCTTTCGGTCGTCGCAGGCTTTGCAGGAACATCGAGAACTCAACAACATGCATTGAACTGGATTTCCCTTGGGCGTAATGAGGGCGCCCGTAAAACCTCCAAAAAGTCCCCAAAACCCCAACCGAACAACCCTAAAACCAGATGACTTGCCTGAACTCAAAACTGGCAAGGAGGTGTGTAGCCCCAAGCCACACGCCTACTCAGATCCCCAAACTAGCGATTTCAACGCACGCGCCCCTCATCCGTAAACCTTCAGCCCTGAAATCCATGTGTAGACATTTGCATGGGCCCTGGTAAGCCCCTGTGCTAAACCCTTTGAACTTTGAAGCCCCCCAAACCCCTTTCCCTAACAAAACCTTAAAACACCCGAAATGCAAAACATCCAAACCCGAAATCCTACATCGAAAAAAAACAAAAAAAGGCATCGCAAAGCTCCACACCCGATCAGCCCTTAACGCCCCACCCCCCCCCCCCAGGTTCCCCAGTAGCTCCTCAATGACAAGGGGACACCTTTTTCTTATTATTCAGGTTTAAAGAAGGAAACCCCAAAACGTACCCTAAACCCTGAACCCTAACGGGTACTACTGGGGGACCTAGCCCTAAGTCGACTGTCGCTCCAACTTCGGCTAAGGATCAGCGTCTCGCCCAACTGCGTAGAGATTGCTCCAGAAAGCATCCTGGGGGTTTAGGGTTTAGGGTTTAGGGTTTAGGGTTTAGGGTTTAGGGTTTAGGCTTTAGAGTTTCATGTTGCACCCGGTTTAGTATCGGCCCCCGCTTTAAAGACAAACTGGCCGAATTATTCAGGACACCCTGACTGTTTGGGAGTCCCTTTTTAAAGACAAATCGTCCGGGCGCCGTAAGAAAATTCCACGTGCCGCGCCTTTAAAAAAGATAGCCGGGCATCACTGCCCCTTTTGAACTTATCAGGATCCCATCCGCGCCTCGACTGTCCAGAGGGGGGGGGGGGGGCCCCCCACACTAAACCGGGTGCAACATTAGGGTTTAGGGCTTGTGACCCTGAACCTCCAACGCCAGAAAAGCGCAAACTGCAAGGGCAAGGGGCTTCACTTATTCTCTATACCGCAGTTCGGGAACACATGCCCTGCACACTCAACTAGTACAGAATCTACCTAACCCTGTAGACCCGAAACCAAAAAACCCTAGCCCTAAACCCTATAGCCAAACCCTAAACCCTAACCCCTAGCCCTAAACCCTAAACCCCAAACCCTAAACCCTAGCCCTAAACCCTATACCCCAACTCCCAGCCCGACGACCTCAAACCGGCCAGGCCACGACTTTGCAGCTTCCTCGAAAACCTCCTCGCTCCCGAACCTCGAAAGACCAACGGCCCATAGGGCGGAAAAGGCTGGGTTCAGAGTTTAGGGCTGAGGGTTCAGGGGATAGACATGGCTTAGGGCTTAGGGTTTATAGTAAGGTTTAGGGTTGAGGGTTGAGGGTTCAGGGTTCAGGGTTTAGGGTTGAGGGTTCAGGGTTTACATGGCTTAGGGTTTAGGGCTGGGGGTTTAGGGCTTAGGGCTTAGGGCAAGGTTTAGGGTTGAGGGTTCAGGGTTCGGGGTTTAGGGTTTGGGGCTTCAGGTTTTTTTGGGCTTAGGGTTTAGGGTGCAGGATTAGGGCTCAGGGTTTCGGGTAAGGTTTAGGGTTTGGGCTTTAGGGTTTGGGTTTAGGGTTTAGGGGTTAAGATTTCTGTATGGTTGCGGATCTCAAAGTTTCAGGTTCAGGGCTTGGGCAACTCACCCGAAGCTCTGTCAGCCAAAATGGTCTAGAGTTTAAGGTGGGCTTAGGGTCCAGGGTGCTAGGGTGCTAGGGTGCTAGGGTCCTAGGCCTAGGGTCTTAGGGTCTTAGGGCCTTAGGGCCTTAGGGTTCTTAGGGTCTACGCCAAAGTGAAGTGAGAAACGAGCAAACAGCTAGCGCACCTGAACGCCGGCACCTGCGCCTGCTACCGGCTCTAACCCGAGGCGCACTTGAAACCCAGAAAAAGGGAGTCGCACACCCTATACCACAATACTACCCACTAGGGTGTACCAACCATTAACCGTTCCTATAGGGCTCTCATTTGGGGGTTTAGGAAAATAAGGGACCCCTAGATCGACCCCAAATAGCTGGATTTAGGGTTCAAGCGTCGGCTCCAGGGTCGACTCATGAAACCCCTGAGCCAGAACTCTTTCGACCAAAAACCCGAAACCCTGAACCCGAAGCCCTAAACCACGAGCCCTAAATCCTAGCAAACCTAAATAGGCCCCGTCAAACCGCTCTCCAAGCCCAATTTTGGGTCTTGCCTCCCAGGGTTTAGGGCAAGTAGCCCTAAACCCTAAGCCCTAAGCCCTAAACTCTAAACCCTAACCCCTAACCCCTAAAACCTAAACCCTAAACCCTAAACCCTTGCCCCTTGCCCCTAACCCCCTAAACCCTAACCCTAAACCGTAAAACTCTTATGCTTAAGTCGGTGTGCAGGCTTAGTGCCTCTGCTCCCGAAGCCCATCAGTCAATTTGGGGATGTTTAAAGGCATAGAGACAAGACGTGGGTGACTTGGGGTTCAGGGTTTGGCCCTAAACCCTAAACCCCAAACCCCAAACCCCAAACCCTAAACCCTAAACCCTGAGGCTCGTGGGATTGAGTTGAGGTTGCACTGGCGCGGTCGGTAGTGCTAGGGACTCGCGAAGGCAGCTAGAGGGTCTCTTGGGTTCAGGGGGTTAGGGGTTTAGGGTTTAGGGGTTTAGGGTTTAGGGTTTAGGGTTTAGGGTTTAGGGTTTAGGGTTTAGGGTTTAGGGGTATCTGCGCGCTGGAGTGCTGCAAGTTGCAGCCAGGCGACCAGTTGCGAAGGCAGCGTAGTACGACTTCTCCTTGCACGACGCAGAAGGATTTGGCGTGGGCACCTACACCCTAAACCCTAAACCCTAAACCCTAAACCCTAAACCCTAAACCCTAAACCCTAAACCCTAAACCCTAAACCCTAAACTCTCGTAACGCCTGCCCTTTTTTGTCAACGGCGGGCTGGCTTGTCACTCGAGCCGGGATCGCTTGAGGTCAGGCTCTTGGGTGGGCTCCGTGGATTCTGCTGCAGACCGCTGCACTTCTTCTTGGGTCGATGCCACAGCTCCTTGCTGGTTCAGGGTTTAGGGTTTAGGGTTTAGGGTTTAGGGTTTAGGGTTTAGGGTTTAGGGTTTAGGGTTTAGGGTTTAGGGTTTAGGGTACTTGCTGAAGAGACCAGAAAGAAGAAGAATCTGCTTCCTTTATTAAGGGTAATATAGGGATTATCATTTTGTATTCTTGGGTTCGGAGCCACAGCTCCTTACGGCTATTTGCTTAAGAACCCCGAAGAAATACGAATATTCTTCCTTATTAAGGGTACGAGTAATATAGGGACTATTATTTTGTATTCTTTTGGGGTTCTTAAGCGAATTGTAGCTTGCTTCTCCAATAGCCAAGGAATGACAAAGGTTAAACTCAATATCCAAGGAAACAGATTGCTTATTTCTTGGAAGGTTAAACTCTATTCTTCCTGCAAAGAAAGTCCTGCAAAGAAGAGGAGGAAATCCCCACAAAAGTTTCAACTGTTGGCTATAGGCAAGGCGCCCGACTCTGCTGCGATGTCGGGGTATGCGAGCTCATGAAGATAGGCATACCAAGACTCATCGGCGGCAAAGATGTGCGGGAAGATTGGCATCAAGAGCACAGCTACCGACTGCAGCAGTTTCCTTGGCTGACTTCTGAACCCCTCCTGAGAGTTTGACTTCTAGGCTCCTTGTTGTAGCTTCTACAACAAACCCAAAAGGTTGAAGTCCTAGGAGCCAGCCGGAAGACAGCCAAGATTCGGTGAGTCTTTGAACGCATCAAGCCATTCATCGATCTTGTCCAAATGATCGTTCCGAACTAGGTCAATGACATGGGCGCCAAGCCAGTTGATACATGAAACTTGCAGCTCCAAACTCATAGCTTGTAGCATGCTAGAAGAGGCCCAAAAGAGAAATGAGTCGTGATCATCGTGCCCTTGCATCAGGAGATGGCAGATTTGCTCTTTTCCTGCATCCGCGAAAAGCGCAAACACTTCCACTTCTTGCATCAGCTGCTCTATCACTGGCGCTCTGTCCTTCAATGGTATGGACCTGCGTAAAGTACTCAAGCGTGGCAACTCTGAGGGCGGATGCATGCTGTTCTGAGTTGTCTGTGCCCAGCATGTCTCGACAGACTGAGGAAGCTGCGCACCAAGCAGGGAGTCAAGAAGGAGTGCCCTGGCATCAAGATCCAGCGCAGCTGCAACCCTCCCGAATGCAGACCCTAACCAGAAGGGCACCACGCCATCATACTCATAGCCCTCAATCGAGAAGATAAGCGCTCCCAAACCGGTGATCAGCTGAACAGGCTGCAACGTGCCTTCTTTCAACAGGCGCACCTAGACCCAGGAGTGACATAGGAATAAAAAGGGTACTTGTTTCTGGTTTTCAGGGAGGTATAAGGGGAACCCCAACCTTGAAACAAAAGGAAAGCCCTAAACCCTAAACCCTAAAGCCTAAGCCCTATCCCCTAAGCCCTATCCCCTAAGCCCTAAGCCCTAAACCCTAAACCCTAAACCCTAAAACCTAAACCAACAAGGGCCTGCTCCGGGTCCTAGGCACCCCAGGGAAACCCTAAACCCTAAACCCTAAACCCTAAACCCTAAACCCTAAACCCTAAACCCTAAACCCTAAACCCTAAACCCTAAACCCTAAACCCTAAACCCCGTCCTAGGCACCCCAAGGTCCAACACAGCTTCCAGCATCTTGTCCAAGCGCTGCCAGAAGCCGCCGTCGAGTGTAACACCAACAGTGGTAAATGTGAAGCTCCCATCCTGAGGGTTTAGGGTGTAGGGTTTAGGGTTTAGGGTTTAGGGTTTAGGGTTTAGGATTTAGGGTTTCGGGTTTAGGGTTTTGGGGTTTAGGGTTTAGGGTGCTTTAACGCCCTTTGAAAATTATTCATGAACCAGGTTCTCTCAGAAGGGAAATTTAAAATTATCCCAAAGCACCACCCAGCATCATGATTCTTGCGGCTATGAGCCTTCGCTGAAGTTGGAAGGCCTGCTACAAGATCAAAGACAAAGACAGCCCAAAAGTCCGGGCAAGCCTTAATCATGGCAGATGCCACGGCGCCCAAAGACTCGAAACCAGGCTGCAGCGAGTAGTTCCAATACTTCCATTGGTACTCCTCATCCGCGTTTGCAGGGGAGGAAGGTTTGCCTGTTTTCACTGTCTCGTCCCGTAGAAAGTAGGCTCGAAGCCTGCTTGGCGGAGAACCTGCCAGCATGCTCAGCAAGATGGCAATATCGGTCTTCACCAAGCCTCGAGAAATTCGGCGATCAAAGAACTCCAGCACTTTCTCAAGGTGCTTGGCTTGAATCTGTCGACGCTCTTGCCAAGACTTCTCGCGATCCTGGAAGCTTTTCTGCAGCATCTCCACTTCGCGTTCCCACTTCGTCTTCTCCTCGGGAGGCAAGTCAGCCCAACCCTTTTGGTGACCATTGCTCTCATAGTAGAGGCTTGAAGCACATGAGGGCTTCTTCGGCTTCTCCGGGTCAAGGTCCTCAGGAATTGTTGAGATGCTATCCACGCAAGTCTGGAGCATGGCTTTCACAGACGCCTCGCCCCAGTGCGCAACATCTACCACCAAGGAGTCCACAGAAGAAGCAGCTTTCCTCAGAATGTGCTGCAAAGCTTGAGGCACCTCTTTCTCCTTGAAAAACTCGCAGGCCTCATCAAGGTCCTTTGGGCTTACAAGAGTGCTCTTCAAGAGGTCCAGAATTGCAACTCGGTCTTCATGCATCAGAAAGAACTCCGACAGCAAGAGCATCTGGCATGCAAGCGTGACCGGCGGCCTTACTGTTGGTTTGTAGGGAATGGGGGCTATATCACCCCTTAAAGGGTGTGTTTGGATCCAAACTCGAACATTCCAAGCAAACCAACAGTAAGTGGCCTGGGCAACTGAAGCCCATAGCATCGAGCGAGCAAGCACCTCATCGCTTCAATTCCAGTCCCAGCTGGAAGAGTAATGTCCAAGTCCTTCTTCCCAGCACACCACGAAGACTCCTTGAAATCGGGTATCTGGCGGTTTCCGAGATTAGGGGGCACCTTATGGGGATCCTTACTGTACGGGAATCCTACAATTTGGGGGCCTAGATTATAGGAATCCCCTCTCCTTGAAGTAGGGTATTCGCTTCAAGGCCGCCTCGTGCACGGTTAAGGTGTGCTTCAGGCCTTCCACCTAGGTTGCCCAGTAACCTAGGATGAAAAAGGGTGCCCCTTTTTTGCTTAAAGCGGTTTATAAGGGAACCTAAACCTACCAAAAAGAGAATAAGGGTACTACTGGGCATCCTAGCCACCGTCACGGACATGCTCACTGGCGGGGAGCTTATCACCAGCTCCATGTCCATGGCCGCTCTACAAACTGAAGGTTCCTGCGTAGTGATAAGTGGGGGTTTCAGTACCCTAACTAGGGGTTAGAAGTATAGATACCCCCCACTTATAACTACCCATGCACCTCCAAGTACAAGCCGAAGGTGAGCTAGAATGGTGTCGATCCTCCATGCTCTCAAAACTACTTTTTTTGGTATGTCTCACAACTCACCCTAAACCCTAAACCCTAAACCCTAAACCCTAAACCCTAAACCCTAAACCCTAAACCCTAAACCCTAAACCCTAAACCCCAAAATATCGTACTCACACTGAGGCGATGAAGCTGGCTTCGGGGTCATGTCATTTCCAAGTAAAGCTGGATGTCGATCTATCATTTTTGGGGCCCATGATTTCAAGCACGAGCTCCATGCCACGTCCTGTAAACGTTTGAGCAAAACCCAAACGACGCAAGCATCATTGCTCAACAAGTTGGCGTGATGCTAACTCCGGCTAGGGTTTAGGGTTTAGGGTTTAGGGTTTAGGGTTAGGGTTTAGGGTTTAGGGTTCAGGGTTCAGGGTTCAGGGTTCAGGGTTCAGGGTTGAGGGTTCAGGGTTCAGGGTTCAGGGTTCAGGGTTCAGGGTTAGGGTTTAGGGTTTAGGGTTTAGGGTTTAGGGTTTAGGGTTTAGGGTTTAGGGTTTAGGGTTTAGGGTTTAGGGTTTAGGGTCTAGGGTCTAGGGTTCAGGGTTTAGGGTTTAGGGTTTAGATCCCACTCCCCGACTGCTTTTCGGTCTTGGCGTGCTGCTCCCAAAGCGCCCGTTGCTCGACAGTCGGCTTGAGCAGTCCACAAGATGTTAGACCCAGGAGTAACCCAGGGACAAACCGGGTTTTGGTTTGAAGGGGATTATAAGAGAACCCAAACCTAAAAAGTTCGAAAAGAGGGCCTACTCCCGGTCCTAATTGAGTGCAGCATGTACCGTCTTCAGTAGCCTGTCGGTTGGATCAGAAAAGGACTCTTGTTTTTGGCTGTTGTTGTTGCATGTAACCCTAAACCCTGAACGCTAAACCCTAAACCCTAAACCCTAGTGGATCGCGTTTGAGGTTTGCAGGTTCAAGTTCTGCATTTCTGGCGCTTGGCTGCTGGTCTTAAACCCTACCTTTGGGGACCAAACTATGTAACACTGAAAGGGTTTATGGTCCATGCACCCTGGTAAGAAGAATTGTGGCGTATATCCCGATTTCCCAGTTTCTGAGTATCCTGGGCCCAAAAAGGTTAACCTGTCAATTCTGGCAGGATTGTACATACCCCAAAAGGTTAAAGGTTACCTACTCAGCTACTAAGATCTTAGGTTGGGATGTTCCCCTTATGTGAACAGTCCTTCAACGGAATCATAATCGGGGGTACTATAACCCCTATTAAGCACTGAGTGTTCGTATAAGGGGGAACATCCCAAATCCTAGGGTTCATTTGCCCCCGGGTGGACCCTAAACCCTAAACCCTAAACCCTGAACCCTGAACCCTGAACCCTAAACCCTAAACCCTAAACCCTAAACCCTAAACCCTAAACCCTAAACCCTAAACCCTAAACCCTAAACCCTAAACCCTAAACCCTAAACCCTAAACCCTAAACCCTAAACCCTAAACCCTAAACCCTGCTCAGTCGAGGCGCGGTCGCAAAGGGGAATGGGATTGCCCGCTTTGTCGATGTGGCCGACGCTGCAGCAGTAGCACCTGTGTAGGAAAGAGGACTGAAGGCTTTAGGGTTTAGGGTTTAGGGTTTCGGGTTAGCCCTAACCCCGTATATTGGTAGGCATTTTTGTTGGGTTGCTTGTGCTAAGCTCCCCCCCCAAAAAAAAAAAAAAATTGGCATGCGCGTCTCGTGTGCAGCAGGCACTCTTTCCCCACAGACCTGGGGGGAGTTCCACTTGCTGTTTGCCCTACTAGCCCCTATACTATTCTTTGAGCTTAAGGTTCAGGGTTTCCAGGGTTTATAGCGTTTAGGGTTTAGGGCTACGACCCCCCTAGGTTCCCCCCATAAACAGCCTTAATTAGGCTTATTTATCCCTAAATAGCCTGAATTATGGGGGAACCAAGGGGGCGCAGTAGAGAGGGGCAGGTCCCCGTAAGCTAGGCATGGGAAAAATGAAGGGCGCCTTCTCATAACCCCCCTCAAAAAAACTGACTGGACCCTAAAGCCCTAAGACCCTAGGACCCTAAAACCCTAAAGCCCTAAAGACCCTACAATCAAAAAAAAACTAAAAGCCCTGAAGCCCTAAAACCTTAAACCCTACAACCCTAAGACAAGCTGATAACCCTATACCCCTGAACCCGTTATGAGAACTCGACACTCCCGGGGCCTAAGGCCCCAGGCATCCTCAAAAACCCTACAAAAATCCTGGAACTTCTTCAAGCGACATAAGCCAGAAAAGGGGGAGCCCTAAACCCTACCAACCTCAAACCCCACCACAGCGTCCGGGTGAATTCAGGGAAGAAGCCCCCCCCCCCCCCCCCCCCCGCCCCCTAGCCCCTAGCCCTCCTTCACTTCTGATCATCCACCTCCGGTTTGGGGTTTAGGGTTTAGGGTTTAGGGTTTAGGGTTAGGAAGCCTATACCCCGAACCAACCCGCAACATGCTTCTTTAGGGCCTCTCTTGGGTCTGTGCTATCCCGGGCGATGTACATCGGTCGGCATGGCACCCTGAATCCTGAACCCTGCGCCCTAGAAATCGGGAGCGCCACAAACTGGGTTCTTGCTCAGGAGGGACAAACTAAGTTACATCACAATACAGTTACATAGCAAGAACATTCCCTGAAAGGTCTTGCTAGCTATTCGTTTAAGGTCTTTAACAGCTACCTTGACTTAGAGTCACCATATATCCCTGCCTGAAGGCTCTTAGTGTACTTCCTCATTGGGTTTGCCTCACTATTAAATCCTTACAGGCCCTGAATAGGATGAGGGTCCCTTTGTAATCCCTTACAGGGGGCGTACAGGGAGATACAAGATACCTACTGGAGAACTACTCAATAACCCTAAACCCTAAACTAAGTGAGGGGTCGCGTCCGTCGAGCGACAGACCCCGAACGCTCGGCCGAGGGCCTTACAGCCCGAGCGCCCAAGCGAAAAGAGAAACGGAAAGGTGAGGGTTAAGCCTCACCGTCTGTCCTGGACAGGCCAACGGACATCGGCCTTTTTTACGACAACGGCAGTACTCGGCTAAGGGATGGCCGGCACCCAGACCACCTTCTTTAGCGTCTGGCGAGGGGTCCAGGCAGGCTGGTTGCTCAATTTCGTGATTTTTGGATTTTCGGGCCCCCCCCTCCCGGACCAAGGGCCCTCCGGGCCAAGGGCTCCCGGCGCCCAGGAAGCCCCCAACAGGCGCCAAGAGCCACCAAAAGGCTTCAAAACACCTTTTAAAAGGAAGGGGGACCACAAGATTTGTCCGTGCCCACAATGAAAATGCGATTTTTGAATATTGAAAACGATGGTTTGAGGCACCCCTGCCCGCAATGAAAAATGTTGTTTTTTAGTACTGAAATCGATGGCTTTGGGCACCCCTCCATTGCACCCCAAAAGACCAGGAAAGCCCCAGGAAGCCCCCAAATCAGCAAGGCCTCTACGGGCCCTGACGTGCCGAAGGCCCGAAAAGGGCCGAGGCTACCCCGAACCCCAGCTTAAACCCTAACACCGCAAAACCCTTCAAGCAAATAAGGGCCTCTACGGGCCCTAACGTGCCGAAGGCCCGAAAAGGGCCGAGGCTACCCCGAACCCCAGCTTAAACCCTAGCGACTGCAATACTCATTGGCGAAAAAAATTAATTAATAGGTTCCCTAACCTTCAAATGAATAAAGCCTCTACGGCCCCTGACACGCCGAAGGTCCGAACAAGGCCCCGAGAGACCCCAAGACCCACCAAGTTGGCAGGGCCAGGAAAGCCCCCAGGAAGCCCCCAAAAGGCCCCAAGAGCCACCAAAAGGCTTAATTGAGGCCCTTAAAGAAGGGGAATCCAGGAGCAGGCACAAAGGGTTTCCCTGACCTTCAAAAAAATAAGGGCCTCTACCGAAAAGGGCCGAGGCTACCCCCAACCCCAGCTTAAACCCAAACAGCGCAACTTTGAAAACATCAAAGCAAGGATCAGAGCACAAGAAAATAAATTCCATAAACCCTAAACCCTAATATAGAGTATAGTTTGGGTGGCCGGGGTGGGTTGACGGGCAACGCGAGCGCGCGGCCCGGGGCGTTTCACACCCGAGCGCGCGCCCTCCCCTGACACACCCTAAACCCTAAACCCTAAACCCTAAACCCTAAACCCTAAACCCTAAACCCTAAACCCTAAACCCTAAACCCTAAACCCTAAACCCTTAGCCAGAAAGCAATGAGGAGCCCAACAGTCCAACTGGTAAACTCTTGTGCCGAGGTGCTGCGTCTTGCCGACTCGAAAATCCAATAGTTGCTGGCCTCTGCAAAAACATGTAAGAATGTATAAGAACTACAAGAACATATAGGAAGATATACATATATAATAAATAAATAAATAAATAAATAAATAAATAAATAAATAAATAAATAAATAAATAAATAAATAAATAAATAAATAAATAAATAAATAAATAAATAAATATAAATATATATATACATACATACATACACATTGCAGTATATAAAAGTAAATATGTTTATCTATGCATATAATATACATATTCCAGTATATGTAAGAACCGATAACAAGATACAATAGTGCAGTATGCTCATGCTCAGAGTTCCTGGCTTCAGAGTTCAGGACATGCCTGTCTTTGTGCTACTCTGTTCGGGAACCATGTCTAGGGTTTAGGGTTTAGGGTCTAGGTTTTAGGGAAACCCTGAACCCTAAACCTTTGGAAGCTAGTCCACTTAAGAGTCGCGGACACCAAGTTGGAGCCGGACGCGGAGATGAATCGTCCCTAGATGCCGCATTAATCGTGCGACTGATCAGTGCAGACAGCTTCTCAACGAAGACTTTCTGCACAAGGTGCTTTCAAGCCCTAAGCCCGGAAACTCATAGCC